GGTCAAAATTGGGTGTCAACAACTGCCCCTTGGTTGCTTGGGAATGAAGGATGAATTGTCAAGCAACCAACGTTGACTTAGTAGCCGATTTTGTCCGACCGACGAGAGATGTCAGTAGGATCAATTGAAATGATATAGGGTTGAAAAGGGGTACGACCGAGACTTTGGTATTAAGCCGCCTACATATCTCTGGTTATACGAGAATCAGGTCGTGTGTAGTTCTAGACTCAGGAGCAGACGAAACTCCTAAGAATCGAAAGAGCGGTACGGTATTCGAACGGGAACGATATTTGCTTGAATGGATAAGATTAGAGTAGCGAGAAAGGCATGACAGAGAGATTTTCGATTTAAAAGTACAGAATCCAATTAAAAAATGGTAATATGAGTAGCGAAGGGTTAAATGGAAACGATGATACGAGTAGCAAAGAGTTTGATAGGGCCTTTGTTGTGATAGATGTAAGCACGATAATTGTAACCGAGAGAGAGATTGATCTCGCCTGCAAAATGTTAGTCTCTGCAAATCTGTAGCTTATAATATTATTAGAGCAAATATATCAAACAAACGATAAAGGTAAACATGATGCAATTTCCCATATCGACAATGATGTTTGCCATAAGACTATGAAAATGATGTCTTAGGCTATGATGTCTAGGGCCATGATACGCAAAAATTATATCCTCAGGTCATGAAAATGTTGTCTGCGGGCTATGAAAATGATTCCTTTAGACTATGACACCTTTGGATCATGATAAGCAGAAAGTAAATCCTTAGGCCATAATAAGATGTCCGCAGGCCATGAAAATGATGCCTTTAGACCATGACGCCTTAGGAATATGAGTAATGAGTAAAGAAAGCGTATTTGTAATTCGGGCATCTGTTGACACTTGTAGCTTGTTTTGAGTTTATGCAGACATATGCAATTCTTGAGCACAATTCAATCTCGGGCACATGCAATTCGGGCTCATGTGATGACATAGTTCTCGGGCACATGCAATATCGGGCACAATGCAATTTCGGGCTCAATGCGATCTCGGGCACAATGCAATCTCGGGCATATGCAGATCTCGGGCACAATGCAATCTCAGGCATGATGCAATCTAGGGCACATGCAATATCGGGCATAATGCAATCTTTGGGCACATGCAATATCGGGCATAATGCAATCTCGGGCTTAATGCAATCTAGGGCACAATGCAATATCGGGCACATGCAATATCGGGCACATGCAATATCGTGCAATAT